GATCAGTGGGATGGGGTGGGATCAGTGGGATGGGATGGGATCAGTGGGATGGGATGGGATCAGTGGGATGGGATCAGTGGGATGGGATGGGATGGCAGAGCCTCATGGGCCCTGTCACCGAGGGACAGACCTTTGTGGGGGATTTGTGCCACAGCTGCTGGGTCCAGCAGGGACCAGGAACGGACACAGGACACTTCCCTTTCCTCAGCAGCAAAGGCAACCCAGAAACAGAATCACAGAATCCTTCACCTTGTAACAGGGCACCGAGTCCAGCCTGTGACCGGTCCCCTCTTTGTCACCAGCCCAGAGCACTGAGCTCAGTCTTTCCTTGGGCCCCACCCTGGAGAGCCTTCACTGCCTGACAAGCTTTTCCATGAGGGAATGCTCCTGAGGGCGGGCTGCTGGAGCACTGCACGTCCCAGCCCTGCCAAGGGCCACGGGACACTTCCCTGGCTGCTGCAGGACCTGCTCCAGCCCCAGCGGGGTGCTCAGCTCCCCTGGCACAGGGAACAGGCACAGAGGGAGTCATTACCTGTTTTCCCCATTACTGTTTAACAACAAGGGATGAATGGGCCTCCTGTACAGTTATTGATACACATTGCATCATCTGCTGGAGAGTCACGGCAGAGGCTGCCCAGGTATTGCAGGACCCAGCAGGGATTTGGGGACACACTCCAAAAGCCCACTCTGCCTTGTGACTGTGGCATCAAGATCATCCCCAGCATTGCCCAGACCAGGGATGTTTGCCATAAAAATGATTTTGCATTGAGAACGTGGACGTATAACCTCACATCAGGCTTTAGCTTTAGCAAGAAATAGATCTGAGGACAAATCTTCAACCCGTGGTGTCCAGTTCTCCTTCTCGGGTGCCCTGAGCCAGCTCTTACCCGAGTGCAGCTCCTTCACCAGGGAGGACATGGTGTTGGTGATGGAATCAGCTGCCACCAGCAGGTCATTGCGGAGGTTCCTCCTCGTACCTGGGTGGGGCAGACACACAGGAATCAGGAAGGGCAGCCCTGCCAGCTCTGTGTGTGCCCCGTGTCCCCATGCTCAGCCTCGCTGTGCCCACCCGGGATGGCACCTGGGCACTCCCGGTGCCACCAGAGCAGGGGACAGGGAGTGACCCTGGCACAGCCCCGTGGCACCGGGGCACTGAGACCCCCCTGGCCCCCGTCCCCATCAGCAGAGCCGCTCCCAGGGCTGCTGGGGTGGGATAAAGGCTGCTGGAATTGTCACCCCCCTGCAGGCTGGACAAGGGAATCCCCAGGGCTGTGTGCTGGCCCCTGAGCTGCCTGGACACTCCCTGGTGAGCCAGGGCCAGGCACCATCACCAGTGACCACCAACAGCCCCAACACGGCCACAGCTGTGCCAGAGCAGCCAGGAGAGCACAGGAACACACCTGGCACAGGGATCATCCCACAGGGACACCTGGCACAGGGATCATCCCACAGAAACACACCTGGCACAGGGATCATCCCACAGGAACACCTGGCACAGGGATCATCCCACAGGAACACCTGGCACAGGGATTATCCCACAGGAACACACCTGGCACAGGGATCATCCCACAGGAACACACCTGGCACAGGGATCATCCCACAGGAACACACCTGGCACAGGGATCATCCCACAGGAACACACCTGGCACAGGGATCATCCCACAGGGACACCTGGCACAGGGATCATCCCACAGGAACACACCTGGCACAGGGATCATCCCACAGGAACACACCTGGCACAGGGATTATCCCACAGGAACACACCTGGCACAGGGATCATCCCACAGGAACACACCTGGCACAGGGATCATCCCACAGGGAACAGGACTGGCACAGGGATCATCCCACAGGAACACACCTGGCACAGGGATCATCCCACAGGAACACACCTGGCACAGGGATCATCCCACAGGGACACACCTGGCACAGGGATCATCCCACAGGAACACACCTGGCACAGGGATCATCCCACAGGAACACACCTGGCACAGGGAACATCCCACAGGGACACCTGGCACAGGGATCATCCCACAGGGACACACCTGGCACAGGGAACATCCCACAGGAACACACCTGGCACAGGGATCATCCCACAGGAACACCTGGCACAGGGATCATCCCACAGGAACACCTGGCACAGGGATCATCCCACAGGAACACACCTGGCACAGGGATCATCCCACAGGAACACACCTGGCACAGGGATTATCCTATAGGGACACCTGGCACAGGGATTATCCCAGAGGGTGAAGGACGATGCTGGTGGCCCCATCCTCTTGGATCATGGACATTTCCCGTTCCTGGAGGGTTCAAGGCCAGGTTGGAGGAGGTTTGGAGGAATCTGGGGTGGTGTCCCTGCTGTGGAACAGCTGGATAACGGCACCAAGCCCACCCAGACATCTCCTGGCTGAGATGCTCAGTTATTATATTAAGTGATAAAAATCGACATTTGATTCTGTTTCCTGTGTTCTCCACCGGCCTCGGCTCTGCCTGATTTCGTGTGATTAATATCAAATAGCACTAATTGTGCAGATTGCCTTTCCGGAAGGATCATGCCAGGGAAATGATTTCAGAGTCTGGTCACCACTTGGTTTGATCCTTGCAGGAGTTTCTCTGGTGGTTGAATCAGCCCCACCGTGGTTGTCACGAGAGGAACATTCCCCCTTTCTGCTGGCACTGGTGGATCCGAGGATTCCCGAGGATTTCTTCTCTTTCACCATGGTCAACAGCAGAATTGATTTTCTGATCAGCTGATGGCTGTTTCACCCAGAAACCATCAGGGTGTTTTATTCTAAACCCGTCATGCCTGCTCATCATCCAGGTGCCAATCTGGGAAATCCTTCACTGAGTGGAAGATGAAGAGATCATCCAAGGAGGAAACTTTTCTAATCTCCAGGCTGTAAGGCCAAGATCTCTGGGATTCAGTTCTTCAAAGCTTCCCTGCTCCAGAGCTTCCCCCCGTGATGGGGCAGCTCGGGGAGGATTCATGCACTGGGAGGCAAAACTGGGTGTCCCTGCCCTCCCTGAGCCCCCCACAGCAGAGCTGGGGCCATCACATTTCTCAGCAGAAGCTAACTGAGATGTTTGTGGTAGGAATCCGTGTCCTGAGGGGTGTCTGTGGCTTTGTTTTGGTCCCCACCGGAACAGCGCTGCCGGGACAAGCCCTCCACCAACCCTCCACCAACCCTCCACCAACCCTCCACCAACCCTCCACCAACCCTCCACCAACCCTCCACCAACCCTCCACCAACCCTCCACCTCCTCCACCTCCTCCACCTCCACCTGCCCTGAACGCTTTCCTGCAACACCTGGCTCCCTGCACCACGAATTTGAGGCGCTGTCAGGTGTTAAACACCCGGGAAAAACACAAGTTTTCCCTTTGGGCGATCTCAGCAGGTCCTGAGGAAGGGGCAGTCCTTGGGGAGAGGCAGCAAGGAGCCCTGGGTTGATTGAGGAAGAGCTGCTGTGGGTTTGCCTTGCCGTGGGTCTCCCCAGGAAATGCCAGATGGGCACACAGCAAACTGGAAAATGAAGAACGACCCAGCACCTTCGTGTCCTGCCATCAGCACGTGCTCCAAGCAGCAGGAACACCGTTCCCTCTCTTCTCCTCAGGAGTGGAGGGAAGGGGCAGCGATGGAACGGATCCCGTGGATCCCCCGGGGGCTGGCCGGGCTCAGGGTGCTGCTGTCCCACGCCCAGGGATCCTGCCCAGGGGGAAGGAGAGGCAGCTGCCAGGGAAATCAGTGGAGAGCTGTGGCTGCAGCACCAAACTCGCTGTGGAGATGAAGAGGAGGCGACTGGACCACCCACAGCAACAGATGGAGCGCTCGCCTCTGGTTCTTGGCACCGCGCCTCCCCGGAATGCGGCTCTGCTCCGGGCCCTGGCAGAGTGCAGGCACGAGGGGCTCGCTCCCACCCTCGCCATGAGGAGAAGACATCCCCCAGCCCAGAGCAGGGCTCAGAGGGGCCGTCCCACGGCGTTCCCTGTGCTGAGGATGCTGAGGCCGAGCGCTCCTGGTCCTGCTGCAGCACCAAACCCCAGCCAAAGGCACTGACGGGCACCAGCTGAGCGTTCACTGGCACTGCTGCTCCTCTGCTGCCGTTTCACAGCCTCTTCCCTCTCCTCCTTCTGGCAGCAGCTTCTTTAGGCAAGGGCAAAGATCATTCCAGAAGGACAGACCCACTGAGCACTGATAAACACAAACTGTTACCCAAAACCTGTTTGGTTGGGAGGAGCAGCGTCGGCTCTGGGAGGTTCCCTTTGTTTGGAGAGGGAACCTGGCCACCTGACAAAGGGATCTGATGCTCCTGTTCACAGTCTGCCCTCCCTGGAAGGAGAAAGCACCTGAGACTCCACCTGGGGTGACCTGCCAGCTGCTAAAGGAACCTCTGCATCAGCTGAGGGCTGCTGCCCTCTGCCCACACCGGCCACGGCACGTGATTCCCGCCGTGATTTCCCAGGGAGCACCACCAGGTCCACAGGGACAATCACAGAAATATTCCAGGTGGAAAAGCCCTCCAAGACCGTCAGGTCTGACCTTTGTGGATTGGTGTCCATCCCTTGGCTCTGCCCACACGGCTGAGTCCTCACCTGGGGCTCAGGAGGGTTTCCTGTCCTTTCTCTCACCGGCAGAGAGAGGAGCACAGGTGGATGTGCAGCTTCCAAGAGGTGATGTCCAGAAAGAACCTCCAAGTGTGCCAGAGACTGGCAAGACCAGGCCCTGCTGCTGTTCTGCTCCCAGCTCCACATTCCAGGATTCTCCTGGAGCACTAAGGATGAAAAGCTCCGGACCGAGATGGGCCAACAGGGAGAAAAGGGCGTTGAAATCCCTTCTGTTTTCTCTTGCAGTTCAACCACCAGGTTTGGAAACACGGCTGGTTTGTAAGGTGCTATTCTTGAATTATTTGTGGGCATGACTTCCCTTCAGGAAAGATCATCTTCACAGAAATGAACTTCATTAAGTTCAAAAGATTCCAAATGTGCCCCCAGATCTGGTCCAGGGCGCAGGAAAGGGGTTTGTAGTGATTGCCTTGACGTGGTGAGTTACGTGTGTCCTGTACAGGGGATCAGGGAAGGGTTTGGGTGGGAAGGACCTGAAAGATCAAAACCTTCAGGGACACCTCCCACTGTCCCAGTGTCCAGCCTGGCCTTGGGCACTGCCAGGGATCCAGGGATCTGCTCTGGGCACCCTGTGCCAGGGCCTGCCCACCCTGCAGGGAACAATTCCCATCCCGTATCCTCTCCCCTCGCGTGGTGGCAACGCCCCACGGGTCCCACCTTGCGTGAAGGCGTCGTGCACGTCTCCCCCGAGCGCGGCCAGCGAGTCCTGGGCTCCGTGGGTGGGCGTGGAACCGGCCGAGGCCGAGCGCACGGGCACGGCCGGGGGGCGGCCGTGGGTGGGCGAGGGCTGGGCAGAGCCCCCGGCCTGAGCCTGTGGAGACACAGAGAGCCCTTGGCCAGCGGCTCCGGGCTCGGGGCCACGGCCAGAGCTGGGTCTGGGGAACAAACACAGACACAGCAGGGATGGGCAGGAGCAGATCCTCAGAGGGATGGGCAGGAACAGATCCCCAAAGGGATCGGGCAGGAATAGATCCCCAGAGGGATGGGCAGGAACAGATCCCCAGAGGGATGGGCAGGAACAGATCCCCAGAGGGGATGGGCAGGAACAGATCCCCAGAGGGATGGGCAGGAACAGATCCCCAGAGGGATGGGCAGGAACAGATCCCCAGAGGGATCGGGCAGGAACAGATCCCCAGAGGGGATGGGGTAGCAGAAGCTCCCCAGAACGATTCTCCCAGATCCTCACATCTGCGAGCTGGGGCTGCTGTGGGAGCTGCTGCCACAACGGGCAAAGAACTTCATTAACTTCTTTTATACTTTTATCTACTTTTATCTCTTTGCATCTCTTTTTATCTCTTTTGATCTATTTTTTTTTATTTTTTTCTATTTTGACATGTTTTTATAAAACCACCCGCAAACATTTATAAATCCATATATTACATAGATATTGATACAATTATTGATATATCTATTGATATATTTATTGATTTATCTATTTATATATTTCTATATATTTATTTATTTATATATTTATTTATTATGTTTTTATATTCTATTTTTTATATTATATATTTATTTCTATATTATATATTTCTATATTACCTATTTTATATTATATATTTTATATCATATATGACATATTTTTATATTGTATTATATAATATATATTATATATATTATATATAATATATTATATATGATACAGGAGATATGATACATGATATATGATATATGATATATGATATATGATATATTATATACTATATACTATATATTATATACTATATATTATATACTATATATTATATACTATATATTATATATTATATATTATATATTATATATTATATATTATATATTATATATTATATATTATATATTATATATTATATATTATATAATATATATTGTATATTATATATTATATATTATATATTATATTTAATAATCAATATTAAATTATGTAATATATAATAGTATAAAAATTATATATAATATATAATAAAATTAATTTATATTTATATTATACATTTTATATTTATGTACATATGTATACATTGCATTATTTTCTATATATGTAATATGTACATATGTACATATGACACATGTATATATTTATACGTTACATATTTATTTATATATATTTTTTATTTTTATTTTATATATTTTTATATAAAATATTTTTATATTTTTATTTTATGTATTTATATAAAATAAATTTATATACTTTCTATATTACATATCTTTACACCTAAATTTTTATATATATTTGTATGTCATGCATATTTATATATTTATATCTTACATGTGTAGATATTTAATGAGTTACATATCTAGGTATTTTAGGTGTTTTAAGATATTTATTTTAATTTTGAGACTTCTATGTTTTAGATATATTCATCATTTGACTTATTGCTGAAAGAGGGAATTTTTACATCTCCTTTTACATTTTCTTCCAGTGTAACCCCGCCTGTTCCTGCTGTGCCATCACAGAGGTGACAGTGCTGTCCCCAGCCTGGCTGTGCCATCACAGAGGTGACAGTGCTGTCCCCAGCCTGTTCTGGCTGTGCCATCACAGAGGTGACAGTGCTGTCCCTGTTCCTGCTGTGCCATCAGAGAGGTGGCAGTGCTGTCCCCAGCCCGGCTGTGCCATCACAGAGGTGACAGTGCTGTCCCCAGCCTGGCTGTGCCATCACAGAGGTGACAGTGCTGTCCCCAGCCCATTCTGGCTGTGCCATCACAGAGGTGACAGTGCTGTCCCCAGCCCGTTCTGGCTGTGCCATCACAGAGGTGGCAGTGCTGTCCCCAGCCCGGCTGTGCCATCACAGAGGTGGCAGTGCTGTCCCCAGCCCGTTCCTGCTGTGCCATCACAGAGGTGACAGTGCTGTCCCCAGCCCGTTCCTGCTGTGCCATCACAGAGGTGACAGTGCTGTCCCCAGCCTGTTCTGGCTGTGCCATCACAGAGGTGACAGTGCTGTCCCCAGCCCGTTCTGGCTGTGCCATCACAGAGGTGACAGTGCTGTCCCCAGCCCATTCCTGGCTGTGCCATCACAGAGGTGACAGTGCTGTCCCCAGCCCGGCTGTGCCATCACAGAGGTGACAGTGCTGTCCCCAGCCTGGCTGTGCCATCACAGAGGTGGCAGTGCTGTCCCCAGCTCAGGGACACTGCAGGTGCTGCTCTGTCCCCAGATCCCGCTGCCTTTCCCAGCAAACCCCAAACCCGGCCGGGTCCTGCAGGGCCCCCCTGGCTGAGCCCCCTCGGGGTCCCCGGGGGCTGGGGCCGGGTCTGGGCAGGGCAAGGACAGGACAGGGCTGGAGCTGTGGGCTCTGTGCTCCCAAAATAACGAGCCCTGCTCTGTTCCCGCTGTGTGCTGCCCACGGGCCCTGGCAGGGCTGAAAGGGCAAAGAATCCCAGACTGGGCTGGGAGGGACCCCAGAGCCCCTCCAGTGTCACCCCTGCCATGGCAGGGACACCTCCCACTGTCCCAGGGTCCAGCCTGGCCTTGGGCACTGGGACAGGGGTCCAGGGGCAGCCCCAGCTGCTCTGGGCACCCTGTGCCAGGGCCTGCCCACCCTGCCAGGGAACAATTCCTGCCCCAAATCCCATCCAGCCCTGCCCTCTGCCACTGGCAGCCATTCCCTGGCTCCTGGCCCTCCAGCCCTTGTCCCCAGTCCCTCTCCAGCTCTCCTGGAGCCCCTTTGGGCCCTGCAAGGGGCTCTGAGCTCTCCCTGGATCCTTCTCCAGGTGAGCACCCCCAGCTCTCCCAGCCTGGCCCCCTGTCCCTGTCCCTGTCCCTGTCCCTGTCCCTGTCCCTGTCCCTGTCCTGTCCCTGTCCCTGCTGTCCCTGTCCTGTCCCTGTCCCTGCAGTCACATTTCAGGGATGTTTCAGTGTTTGGGGACTCCAGCCTGGAGCTGCCCGGCCCCGGAGCCACTCCCAGGTTGTGCCTTTGGTTTGTGGCCTTTTCCTGAGCGCCTTGTGCTGTGCTCCGGGTGACACTGCCAGGACCTGGGCATGGTGACACTGCCAGGACCTGGGCATGGTGACACTGCCAGCCCCCTGTGCATGGTGACACTGCTGTGACCCTGTGCATGGTGACACTGCCAGCCCTGTGGCGGTCCCACAGGAGCTCCAGGAGCAGGGTGCTGCTCGGGGTGGCCGTGGCTCCCCCTCTCCCCAGCCCCACGCTGATGTTTTGTATTAACACGAGAATGCAGCCATGTGGAAAATTGTCATTTGGAAAGTGCATTAATAACCAGGGACTGAGGCAGGGCAGGGACACGGCAGGGACACAGCAGGGACAGGGCAGGGACACAGCAGGGACAGGGCAGGGACACAGCAGAGACAGGGCAGGGACACAGCAGGGACACAGCAGGGACAGGGCAGGGACAGGGCAGGGACACAGCAGGGACACAGCAGGGACACAGAGGGGACACAACAGGGACACAATAGGGACACAGCAGGGACACAGCAGGGACACAGCAGGGACACGGCAGGGACACAGCAGGGACCCAGCAGTCACCTGTGGCTGGACCTCGGAGGGGAGCGGCTTTCCTGAGGAAATGTCACCCCAAGGTGCGCGTGCCGCGGCAGCAGCTCCCCTTCCCTGCCCCCAGAGTGCAGATGACAGGCTGAGCACCCA